GGTCAGAAGATTTAAAATAGGGGGGACTGTTCGATTTTGTAATTATTGTAAATAAACATGTTCAAAAGTGCATCTAAATTAAATCATTAGTATGCAAAAGAATTTGATAAGATGTCGTGTCTTTTCTTTTAAGCATATAGTTTTTCTTCCATACACAAATTTATGTCTATATACCTATAAAATCTGTAGCATGTACATGCTTATGTACATGTTATTTTATAGGTATGTAAACATGTGAATATAATTTTTCAATAAAGATATTCATTTCAAGAACATCTCATTGGAAAGGATGTCTTGTCAAGTCATCACACCTACATGCATTAGATAATAAAAATAATAATCATAATCATAATAATTCAATGAACAAGTTGATATCTTCGTCAAAAATAGATTTAATATTATTAGAGTAATTTTTATATTTAATATAAATTCTAGAGTAAAAAAAAAATATCAATATCTATAATTAATGTGTTATATACTACTTATAATATATTCTTCTTTATAAGTCACCATCTTTATGACTTGAACCTTCATACAACGGCCTTAGTCAAAGTTAAAATTGGTCATACATCACATTATATTATCTTATTGTATTTCTTTTATCTATGCAATAATATCCTGATTTATTGCCTTGATTTGCATGTCTATATACCTATAAAATCTTATTCCATTCTATTAAATTATATCTAAATATCTATCATTTCTTGAAAAATTTGAAGTATTTTAGACTCCTTCAAGACAACTACCTAATAATATCAAAATAAATTGCACACAAACTAGTTGATGCTAGAATGAGCAAAAAAATATTATAGAAATTACTAATGATTGGAATAACATGATTTCTGTTGATCACCCACAATTTGATTAAGATAAGGAGATACTTTCAAAGGTATCTTGGATGTAAATCTAAGTAAGCATTATGAGTACTTTAATTATACAAAAAGTTGAAGAAATAATTTAAACAATATTGATCAACATAAAGTTCTTACTAAAGCAATTAGTGGAATTGAAAAATATCATAGTCAAGGAATCAATTCATATTATCTTTTTACTAAAATACATGACAAAGGTGACACAATTATTTTAAAAAACATTAACTATTGTTGGATCTATCATTTTACAGAGACTAAAAAACTTATATGACACATAAAAATATACAAATCAATAGTTATTATGGAAAAAATATCACATACTAAGTAAAAGATTATATAACATTTGGGAGTAATTAATCACAAGTCATCAATCATTTCTTGCAATTAAAGAAGACCACATTACAAATATTGCATTTTATCTTCTATATCTGAATTTTTAAAAGGTATAATAGATAAAAACTTAATTGAGAATATAAATAAGATGCATTTTGTTATTAACATAGATAATAGGAAGACAATTGGTTTTTGTAGTAATAATGATGTTAAGTATGTAGATGTCATGTTTGAAAGACCGGCATGATAATAGTCATCTATTTCATTGGTAGTTCCAAATCAATGATATGTCAATCCTTTATGATTTTTCAAAATACATACTACTTCTATCCAATTTGTGATATACTTGATAATATTTTTGATATCTCATATTATTTAATAAAAGACTTTATTACGAAATAAGTATAGCTATAATAACTTAAAGAACCATATATGTAGTGACTAGGTGATCTTTATGGATAATTATAATTGACATAATGATATTCTTGAGGTTTTGATGCAATTTGTGAAATTGAGAGCATCCATTCCTAAGCTTATAGTATACATGTTAATCTTAGAATTATACTTATTATTTAATTTAATAATATAAATTATTTTTTATTTTTTTAAAAGTATATTTGAAAAAAATATTAGATATGAATTATTATAAAAAAAAACTTAGTAAAAAAAGAAAACATTGGTATGAAAAGGAATCAAAACAAGAAGAAAAGACTATGAATAAAAGGAATTAGAAGAAGAAGAAGAAGAAATAATGTAAAAAGAATTAAAAGATAGAAGTTAGGACATTAGTGTAAATAGAATAATAGTTAGCTACTCATGTGATATAATAGATAATGTCATTAAATCACTTTAGGTAGTTAAGGTAATTAAAAATAAATTAATTTTATTAAGTTCAAATAGTATTAAATAAAACTTACTATAAATTGATCTTGATTATAATTATGATTTCAACTCCAAGAGCTTACATCAAGACCACAACTATTGAAAGATAAAGAATAATCTTTATTAAGAGTTGATGTCAGCACAAAGATAACTTTTTTGTAGAAACATAAAAAATAAAAAATAAATTATAATTTTTAAGATATAAAATTCTATGTGTTTAATATACAATCAATAAAGTCTAATTATCCAACAACTTTATTTTTTCAAATATAAAAGTTTCTTAGATATCCTTGTAAGAAGCATACAAATTCAAGGCTATTAAGGAAGGTAAATGGTTAAGGATTTTGGGAGCTATGAAGAATCCTAGTAAGACATTCTTCTTGAATTTCATAGCCTTTAAGCAAGTAAATGCAATGTGAAATGAAAATAATATGTTGTATTCATGCAAAAATATGATTTAATGTGGTTTTTCACTTGACATAATAAACAAGTAATATATAAAGTAATTATTACCAAAGCTAAAGGTAATTATTACCAAATATTGTATTTATATTGATGAAAAAGTTATGCCTCTATTTTGTGATTTTTTTCAATAAAAAACAACATTTAAATATATTTCATAGATCTTAAGCTATTTGCATTTTACATTGCATTTGCATTGTTAACAACGTTTCTTGCAAGCTTCAAGAATACAAACAAGTTGTCATGGATTTAATTTTAAATAAGAACTAATGTATACCTAATTTATCTATTAAACAATGCTTTTAAGAATGAATTTGATTCATCCTTCAATTCTACATCATTCAAAATTTAAATTAATCTCTTTTTTTTTTCTAATTTAAAACTATTTTTCATTGATTTTAATTGACAAACTCTAAAATATTGTCTTAACTTTTAGCAACTACAAGTTGGCAAGCACATGAATTTTAAAGAACTAATAGATCAAGACACTGTTAAGTCACTCAAAAAAACTAGATAATCACTCAAAGGTGGTAATATATTAACTAACATGACTATTTCCAAAGACAAGAAGACTAAAAAGTCTTAAAATAAGACTAAAGATTAGAAAGGCATTAGTAAGAGTAAAGAAAGCTTTATTCTTCTCTCCATATATACTCTTTAATTAGGAGCTACATAGTTATATTTTATAGGACCTCTAACACGTATTGATTTTTCAAAACACAAATCTTAACTTACAATACAAGTTTCCTATATGTGTGCTATATAGTTAGCTTGTTCTACAAGCTAATAATACATGTGACATGTGGTTAACTTGTTGACAAAGTTTCTAACCTACCAATCAATTACAAACACATGTAAAGTCAAAACCATGAAGCTTCTCTAAAAGATATTATGAAATCAATCTATTTTTACTTACTTTTATCTAATCATATAGGTAATTATTGGAGTAAATATGTATGTCTATAATATAAGCTACATACTAATTAGATGTGCATTTGAATATTATAATACATTATAATAAAAATATCCTACTATTAAAATACATTCTCTATTGATATGATATACATTAATTACAAACATGAATGTAGATACAATTATATACAATTCCATATATATTCTGTAAATGTTCATTAACCAATCCCTATCCTCTTTTATCTCTCCTAATAAGTCACATTCTCAAATAAACTCAAAAGTGAGTGAGTAATTGGTTTGCAACATTTGTGAGAAGTTTCCATCCCCCAAATCTCCTTGTTGGCAAACAACAACCCCTTGTTCATCCTTGGATGGATGAATGCAGACATCCATGGTAATGGAAAGTCATCCATAATCATGGTTGTGGAGTACCACACAACGAATTAGAAGAGGGATGATACCGTAATGCATCTACGATAAATGCATCCTTTTCATCCATGGATGGATGAAGCGAAAAGGGGAGAGCCGGAGCCCTAGAATGGCGATGGCGGGCGTGATATGGAGTAGCGTTGTAGTATATCGTTATGTTGCAGTTTGGCATGCGATCCATTACGGGAGGGACCGTTTTGTCGCCTCGAGTGCCTCGAAAGAGTCGCTGATCGGTGGAAGGTGCGGAGGCATTCGCGGACCACCGGTGATGTGCGTGTGTTGCCGAAGCATCTCGCGGTTCTGAGATTGAACCTTATCGTGTTGGCGCCTGTAAGATCACGACCAGTTAGTTCACAGCTTTTTCCCCTCACCTCAAGTGGTGGATCTCTCCAGCGTGGATCTCACTCGCTGTTTGTTGCTTTGTGTCAAGAATATCCCCGCTTCCCAGAATTGGATTCCGATTCTTGGAGGTTGGGGGTTGATGCTGTCATTCTTTGCTGGAGCCCGCCCACGGAGTGTCGAGTTTCCTCACCGATTATGCGCCGTGATCCAACGATCTCAATCATGTGATGAACCACAGCAACTGTTCCGGGTGCATGTGGTCTCCACATCGCCAAAAGCCACGTGAATCGACTGTGCGAGTAGGAGTGGGCTGCCTGTCGTTTATCTGCATTCGAACAGTAGATGACGTAAGAAATTACGCAGTACTCTGATCGGGTGTTCGTTTGAATCGCTTCTGCTTATGAACGCACAACTCTCTTGTGAGACCTGGGAAACTCAGCGGTTAATAGAGCAGTGCCGTGTACAGATTCAGGGGACCGCAGCTTTGTACTATTTGAAGTACTTCGTGAATATTTCGAAGGATAAGGATGAGATTCATATGTTGTGAAAAAACAATGGCTGACGTGAGAATCACTGATGCGATGATGGGAAGGATTCTCTCGTTGCAGGAACACACAAAACAACTGTGATAGTGAGAAAGGAAGGTTTTTGCATCACTTGTATGCTGACCAAGTCACGCCAGCGATGGGGAATGCAAGTCTTGCAGGAGAGAGGACCGTACTCGATTTCCTCGGAGGAAACTAATATTATCTTCGATTCAGAGAAGAATCACAGAGAAGTAGGTTTCACAATGTTCATTAAGACTGGACATCTACAAAGACCAGGTCAGGCTCTGGCAATTCGAAGCACTTTTTTACTCCTGAGGTTTTTTGGTAGGAAAGGAAAGGCAACTCCTCGAGGTAAGGACCTCCAAAACTTTCACCCATCGCAGGGATTCCAAATAGGTGGGAGGACCTCTATCGTAGTTCACAGCCCTGCCAACGTGCAGGTCTCTCTTGCTTCCGCCTAAAGGTCGGATTACCAAAACCCAACTTCTGTACACTTCAGAGATCCGAGAGGAAAGACGCAACGTTCTTTCGAATGACAAATCAATTGTGAAATACAGGGACGTCCGATGAGATAGCAGCTTGATCGCATGATTCACCAGGTGCCATTCTAAATGGTGATGCTCAGTGACCAAAGTGCACGCATTTGCTCCTTTCCTCGTTTGCTGAGGAGGTCAAAATTTAAACACCGGGTTTCCAAAACCAGAATATTGAACCCAACCCCTAATTACAGTGTATATAAGAAAGGAAGAAGATCGACCACCGGCTGGGAGAGGAACGGTGACAAGTTTGAAAGATATTGCTCTACGCCACTGGGGGCCTCAGGACATGATCCTGTGATGTGTCAACAGCAGCAGGCGGCATCCATTGCCACATGGCCATGCCAGGATACCCAGCAATTTGCGCAGCTTTATTGGATGCAGCCTGTGTCTGTGCAGCGAAAGCAGCAACTGCTGCATGTAAAGCCGCAGGATGAGGCATGTATCCGGCGGGAATAGTCATCGCCTTTACTTGCTGCTCTAACCTTTCCTTGTCTGCCTTCAGTCGAGTCTTCTCCTCACGCAGTTCATTCTTCTCATTCTGAAAAGAACCAATATGAACTGTCGTAAATAAAAACAGATCATCGAAGTTCACAACATTCAAACCATGCGTAACCCGTCAAAATAGAGAACTAGAATGTATCCTGCAACCCCCAGTCCTTGCACAACACGTCGCAAAAATAAAAGATGTGAATCATCTAAGAAACAATCATAATCAACAAGGTTGAATATAAACTTGGCCACTATCACGCATGCATGGTAACACATGGGCTTGTCATGCGACTGGGAAATGAGAATGATATTTAGAAAATGATTGGGCTGTGAACCTTCAAATCCTTGATTGTTTCTCGTAGCTGATTGTTCGACTCTGTAAGCCCTTGAGCCTCAGCACGAAGCTGAGTTAGGATGCGAACAGCATCACTTAAGATTGTGGCTTTGTCAGTCTTAGGTGGCCTTCCAGGTTCCAATGCCGCACTTAAATCCAAGAACCTGAAAAGATCGTAAGTACTAATGCGGTGTTAGAAAATTCTGCAGAAGCCTTCCACATCTCCACACTCGGTAACAAACTAGAGGAACGTACGCTGGATCGAAACCCCACCAATGTAAAACACTACATCCAACTCGTATTCTCCAAGCACGAGAAGCACAACAATCCACTGGTGCATAATGTCGAATCACTGACCTATCATTGAGGCGGTCGCGACGCATCTTCTCACGGCATGCTTTATTGCCAGAGCCACTGGAGCCCTCCTCTCGAGACCTGAAAGAACATCAGGTCAGTCACAAGATAAAGTGGAATCTTCCCAAAATAGGATATTCATAACCAACAGCACCCGGGATTCTACAAACAAATGAGTCGTCTTTAGTGTTCTGCGCAATGAAATCGGAGGCGCGGATGGGATGAGATACAACGTTTCTCGTTGTGTAAAAAAAAAGTGAAACTAACATTTTAATACAACTTCCAATGTCAAAGAAACTTACCAATTTTCTTATGATATATTATTAATGTTTTTTGATAAGTCTTTAAAATTTGAGTACGAATGATGAGTACTTACATGAATCGCTGCACCGTACGGACAACTTAAAAACATGACTCACATCTATTTAATTTCCAAAACATTATGTAAGATACTAATTACAGCACTTCCGATAGGCAGCAAAAGTGTAGGAGCTCTCTGAGTTGAGACAGTGATGCCCATGCATTCGGCACAGATTATCTAAATCTGCAACTTTTAGCAAAGAATTCAAATAAATGTTCGCTAAGTGGAGTCTGACAAACCTCTTTCGAGAACAGCTTTTCTCAGGCACGTCTGACTCCCCCTTTGAACATTCATTGTCGATACTGTACATGGCAAAACAACGAAGTTACAACTTGCACGCCTTAATCACTCACAGATCGACCAAGCAGACCTGACCTGGCTGAAAAAACCTTCCGACAGCAAAGGAGAATCTCTCGCTCTGCCAAAGAGTCCCGAAGCCCCTTGAATGGCATCGTTGCGCACGTTACAACACAACGGGAACAGGTAGACAATAAGAAGTACCACCGCTCAAGCAGAGAAGTACATGAAATCCAAAATACAGCGAAACCCGCAGATAACCGGCACATATGTCGCATGTAGCCAAAGCAGCTAATGCGAGGGCTCAGGATTGATAAGACATCTGCCGCTAGTGAAATGCGTGTAAATTGTTGAAAGTACCGTTGCCTACCAGGATTCCATGATATGATTTCAGAAAGTGTAGTATTACAAAGCTCAAGATGGTGATGTTAACGCTACACACAACAGAGCAGGACCTAACTGCTGGATTATCTCCTTTGTGCTAATAAATCATGTCATGAGAACTGTGTTGTGTGTGAAGGCAACCAACAGCACATGATGAGATGATAAAACTACAAGGTTACCGATGTTGCACTCACGTGATGCCGTAGCTACATGTGGATTGAGTAATCACTATACACTGCCCACAAAGACAATGCTTTTTTTCTGAAGTTAAAGATGTTGCTTCACACTAGCTCCTCCACAATCGCGAAAAATGAGCAAGAACGATGTTGCTGAACATTTGCAAAGATTTCACACGACCAGAAAAGTAGGAAATGAGGAAAGAGAACCATCCAGAGCTAAATCCTCGTTCGACACGTACAAGGCAAACTATCGCAAAAACACACTGATACTGCGCAAAGGGGCTTCGCATTACAACTAAAAGAATGGTAAACGAGGTCATGATCGCCAACATCAGAAGTGGCCTAATCGTAACGAGCTGAAGAGGAAAAGCCATAACGTTAGTAATCTTTGGCAGGCAATGAGTATGCCACGGGATGTCCATGAGTACCTGCAATCGATTTGCTCAACGGGTTGCTGGGTGGTGCACCAGAAAAACGGATTAGAAGGCTGAACCTCCTCCTCCGCCAGCAAATTTTCAGCCAGATACGACATCCACTTGCTCGTATTAGACGGTGAGGACATCATCCTCCCCAGCAAGCAAGGCACTCACGTATACCACTTTCAGCAGTGCGGCAAGATCAAGACTGTCCGGAATTCTGTGCGCCTACGCAACACAGGTCCGTCACCAACTTTTCGAACCCACTTCTCACAACACTTCACCTCTTCCGTGGCTATCCTCTTCCCCTCCCTTCGTATTTTTTTCTTCTCAATCTTTTTTAATTTCGTTCCTCTCTTTACCCCTCTATAAAAACTACAGAATGACTCCTCGCTAGGCTGTTCCCATGTCTGAACAATGCACAACAGTCGACAGTCGAGCAAGATCCTACAAATACGCACCAAGATTAATACCCAACTCCCGCTGAGCTCGAACGATACGCAGCAGTAAACAAGATGTTGTTCCCTGGATATTCTATGATTGCATTACCAGAACAGCCCTACCACACACGCGCACAGCAACAAAACAGCGCCCAGCAAACCTGTAGATGACCCCGCACAGCAACGACCCCCTAACACTCTCTCTCTCACTGTCGCTCTCCCTGGACAATCTCCCAAAACACATTACTAGAAACTCGGCCCTGTTCCACCACAAGACAACATCCACTAACCCCAAAAGTTAAAATAAAATAAACAACCCAAAAAATAATAAAACCATATATAATGATCCCCAAATACCCACAGCCTCCCGAAAGCTCGCACCAAACCCCCCCCCCCTCCCCCCTACAGAAACCCTTCCCCTTACCAGAAAGTCCTTTCTCCTCCGAATCACGCAACAACCAGCGCAAGTACACGGCACACGAAACTCATCAACCCAATGGGCCCTCCATCCCCCACCCCCACACGAAATCTGGCTCCAATCTGCCTCTCTATTTACGGAAGCGTCGGAGGCGAGGTGGCGGCAAATGATTGTAGACGCGTCCAGAGGCACAAAGGAATCGCAGTCGCTCGAGTCGGCTTCGAATTCAACAGCCCAGTGGCATCACTCACACTCCAATCGGAGCAAGCTTCCACTTCGGCTCGATCGCTCGCTCGCTCAATCTCGCTTGTCGTCGTCTCGCCGAGCAACCAGCACCGCGACCGCGACGCCGTCCCACAGCGGACCCCGCCGGAGCCAGTCTCTGCGTTCGGTTCCGCGCGCGGCCTCCTCCAAGCCTGCGCGCTTCTGCACCGCTACCTCACTGCTTCCGAACCGGGCGTGTAGGCTGCTTTGTCTCGCGCGTGGTTTTTCTTTGACCCGAGCAGCGCAGGCCAGCATGCGGTCAGGGGCCGTGATTCCAATAATGTGCGTACCCTCGGAAAATGTTCTTTTTCCGTACATAAACAGGTTTTGGATATATCGTAGATCCTCAGTGGTCAAGGATCCGGCGGCTGAGATCAGTCCTGCGCGCACATGCAACGGCGGGATTGTGGAGAGCTGTGATGGATAACTCGATAAGTATGCTGGGACCTCTACGTTCTGGAAAGGACCACGAGCAAGGGGCAAGGCACGGTAATAGGTCCCCACGGCGAACTCTTGAAAGCAGTTGGAGTTATCCTCTATTGTGCGCTTTGTGGGTACAGGGCACTTTCCTAGAAGTGGGTAAGGGGCTATATTGGCTCTAGAATTTTTGTAATAATGCTATAAAAAGGAGTTACATGAACTTGGTGGGGCTTAGAATCTAATCCAGTTACTTCTTTTAAAATCATAAAATAAAATAAATAGATCATCTGTAGACAACCTCATACAAATGCATGTATTAACACAGCTTCTATTGGGTTTTAATGTATTTGGGATTTGTGACATGTTGAAAAGCATACTAGCTGGTGACATTTGGTGTATAAAACAAGGTCATGTGTACATTAGTTTGTTGGGTTTAGTGCAACTTTATGATTCAAAAAGAAAATCGACACTTTTGTAATTCCATCATGTAGTTGACAATACCAAATAAAAAATTTAATCATTTTGATGAATAAACACTACTTTTCAAAATAGTTTAGAAGCTTCAAAACTCACCTTCTACAATTTTGAAGATACTTTGTAACAAGCAAAATATGTTTGAATTTTTGCATTTGTTTTCATTTTATGAAGATGTCATGTGTGTATTATATGTTGAACTGTAAAAATAACAACAACAATGTAATGTTGTGGCACTTCAATACGTGCTTTTTTGAAATTTTCACAGGTGAAATGTTTAATGCAATGTTTTTTTTTTTAATGTGAATGCAGTTGTTGCATATATCAAAAATAACATATATGGATTTGTGTATGTTAATATGTCTTAGTATATATACATACATACATACATACATACATGTACATTCAATCTATTTCTGCTGATCATAGATATAAATGTTAAAAAAGAATAATATCAAAATTGCTTCAAAGGCTCCACAGACCATGTGAGATTTACTGGTTTCATTCTAATATATACATATATATATACATATATATATATATATATATATATATACATACATACATATATTCCTCAGAATGAACTGATTTGTTTCTCTGTGATTACAAACTAAAAGTTTTATGTTTTCATGTGAATGTGAACATGTAATAGTAAGTTCAAAGATTTTTTTTTACAATGTAAATGAGATGCATGATATCACAGTATTTGTAGTTGTCTACAGTCTGAAGTAAAATTTTATGAATAATCTTTCAATTTTGTGTTGTTTTAAACATGACTTAGAAATTTTAATTGTAGAAATAGAGGCAAAATCAGACCTTTGTACAGAATTGATTATTGCACTACTTTTCACAAATTTGGAGGAAGTTCATAAATAAATAATAAGCTAGTTAAATAAAGCATGAAAGAGCAACAAGGATATCTGTTTTGTTTCTTTTTTCAAGTAAATATATATATATATATATATATATATATATATATATACATATAGTTAGTTAGTTAGTAAGGAGAAAGAGAATTATTATGTTTTCAAAAATATTGATAATGTTTGAAATGTTTCAAGGAATTGACATAGTATTTTTTACAACAAATTTTACAAGTGCATATATTTGTGTGTGTAGATATATATATATTTGTTGGATGTATTGGCATTAAACCAAAATAATGCAACTAATCTTATATTTTTTGTTCAACACAAAAATAGGTATATCTAATGCATTAATGTGGTTATTAGTTACAAATGACATTTCAATTCCTAATACTTATTTAGGAAAATTTGAAGCTACATCTTGAAGTAATTAGACTTCTTTCTTAAGATATTATACTTTTGTATATTATTAAATTACTCTTGGGATTTCTAAAGTTTTATTTTGTTATTATATTTATTCTAGAACCTATCATTTGTTTTGTCATCCAAGACTTCTCCCATCTTTTTACAAGAGCAATTTCTTGCTTTGAATATTTGTATATTTTCTTTTATAAGAACTTGAAGAAAATTTCACCATTATTTAGAATACCTTGCTAAATTATTACTCTAATATGAGGGTTGCTCTATACTTCTTGCTTAAAAATAAACTCATTTCTTTGAATTCAAATTTTTCATAAGAAGAGTCTTCTAAGAAGCAACTAGTTTTTTTGAAACATTTCAAAAAAAATATATTTTTATTTGCAAAAATGATATGTCTTCAAGAGAAGGCCTCCCGTAGTTCCCATCTCTATGGATTTGAGGTTAATTTATGTAAGAGGGAGATAAACCAATCCTAAATTTTCTTGACTTATAATAATTACTAAAAATATCATATGATAGATTTTGGCTTATATATTAAGAAAATATCATAATTAACATTGATAGTTTCATATATATATATATATATATATATATATATATTTAAATATTTCTAACTATAATCTCTTTATTTTAGATGAGCCAAATACACATAGTCTTTCTACAAGATTGGAATTGAGCCCAAATCTCATTTTGTTTAATTTTAAGTTATGATCTAACAATATATTCTACTTTTGTAATGGTGTATTAGAGGTAAGAGAGTTCTTTTGCATAAATTCTCTATATAGTTTAATATAATATATCATTAATTATTTTCATAATAAATAAAAGAACAAATTAAGATCAAAGATAAGATCACTAGTTGAGTCATATGATAACTTGATGTTTGAATTACTTCTTCTTGTTAGACCATTCTAAGAAGATCCTCAATTTGATTTCACAAAGTTTTCCACTAGGTGCCTCTTTATTTACAAAGGTATGGAATTCTAAGGTCTTTGAATTTTTATTTTCAATTTTTATTATTGTCTAGAACTTTGAATTGAGTTCAAATATTAAAACTTTTAATTTTAATGGGATGTGGAAGAATGAATCAATTGTCCTCTTCTATTCTTCAAACTAAAAAAGAAGTTGGAAAACCATTGATAGATGTTAATTGCTTAGCATTGTATATAACTCAACCTAATTATAGATTATAGAAGTATCTCAACTTTGTTAAAGAAGACATTTCTATAGACTAAGAATACATGAGTGTAGAACCGTCTAAGATTAACTATTACAATTACTATGAATTATTTTATACTTTGGCAATGCTTCTTCAAAAGAAAGATGTTGTGAAGGTTCTTTAAATACATTTTTTATTCTTTATATACTATTTCAATGTAAAGAAATTGCTTTAGAGGAATCAAGATAAAAGTTAATAAGTGGAACCACATGATTCTTCCATAATAATCTATCATATACTTCATCCAATTATTTTTAATGAATTAGGATGTGTATAATAGCACATTCAAGTCAAAATTTTATCTATTTCATTCCAAATTTTGAATCTAGTACTTTACTTATTTTTAGAAATTAAAGACCAAGTGACATCTAAAAGCTAATATTATAATATAGTAGATATAATATTTTCTAATTACATTGTAAGATTTTTGGAAAAAATATGCTAATATCATTTAGACTAGGTGTATTTTTTTTGGCCATCTCTTTCATAATGTCTTCAATTTACTTGAGGTTAATAGAAAAAAGAAGATTTGTATTTATTCTATTAATGATTTTTTTTAGATTATATTTAATAAAATATTAGAATATCTCAAATAAGCTTACATAATAATCTACTTTTTTACAAAGTTTAGAATAAAAATTAAAACATATACCTTTCAAGTCAATAGAATCTTTAAATAAGATTCTTAATTAATTTTATAATTTTATAATAATAAAACAAAATTGATGTAATATAATAGCTTGAAGAAAAATTGGCATTTCTATTATTTTATCAATTTTAATAGATCCTAACTCTAGAACATTGACTTTCTTGAGACTAATATTTTAATTGATTGAATTAAAATTGGATTAATTTTAGTCTTTTTTATGTATTGAGATCTTGTATATTAATTTGAAGTTGTAAGTGGGTCAACTAAAAATATTCTTTAAATTCAAGATATTGTTTTATTCTCAAATAATTTTTTTCTTTACAAAAATCCTTCCAAAAATAAAGAAATGTATTTATTTTTAAAATAAAAAACCTTATATTCTATATTATGATTAAAATTTACTTATCAATTAAATAATTCTTGGATCTCCTGAAAAATAGATTTAATTTATAATAAGACTATATAGGAGTAGATTTTTGTAATTAAATAGCAAATTTAATTAAGAAATAGTTCGATATGACATTATTATCTATTATTTAATATATTTATATTTGATTTTTTTAAAAAATAAAAGAACTTAAATAGAACCTAACTAACCTTGGAAGAATCCTAACTTGTCTCATTTGATGTCTCAAGAGTAGTTTAGAGCACTATTGTTGTGTATTAATAAATCTATATTATTTATTAGATATTTAATAGATAAAAAATAAAGATGTAAACATTACTTGCACTTATACCATCAAGGTTTTTTTTCTTTTAAATAACTTAGAGTTGTTTCAAAAATATAAAAATAATATTAGACTATAATAGATTATATAATTTTTAGACCATTGATTTATATAGTTTATATCAAGATCTT